TATTTTTAGTAGAGTCGGGGTTTCACCATATTGGCCAGGCTGATCTCAAACTCCTGACCTCAGGTGATCTACCCGCCTCGGCTTCCCAAAGTGCAGGGATTACAGGCATGAACCACTGAACCGGGCCTGGAATGGCAGTTTTTCCAGCAGAACTAACACCGGCATTTCAGGGGTTTTTGTCCCTGAGCTAGACCCCACACCCCTACTTTGCTCTGAGGAAATCCTCACCAGGGTGCCAACCTCTTGCTAAGGGCAGCAGTAGATACCCCTGGGAATTTCTAGGGGAGGGGGTCATCTTAGGAAGGAACCTTGCTGAGCCCAGGGCTCAGGCTAGCGGTGGGGCAAGGGTACGTGGAAAGTGAAGGAGGAGCGCCTGCCCCCGCTGCAGGAGAGCAGAAGGCTGAGAGGAGCGGCATCTTGAAGGAGGAGGACCCAGGCAGGGCTGCTTGGCCTTGGTTGGCTAGAATTGGTGGAGCCTGGGAAGGCTGGAGCTGGGAGAGTCAGCCCCTTGACATTCAAACACAGAAAAATCCCCTCAACAGGAAAATATAAAAGTAGTCATCTGTAGTAGCCAGCAAGAGGCACTAACTAGTGGTTTCAAAAGGAACTCAACTAGCAGAGTTTGCTAGAACTTACTATGAGAACCTTGGTATAAGCTGCTAGAAACCCCAGATAATTAAAGACAATTACACAGCCCGGGCGTGGTGGCTTGGGGCTCCTGCCAGCACTTTGGGAGGCCGAGGCGGGCAGATCACCTGAGGTCAGGGGTTCGAGAGCAGCCTGACCAACATGGTGAAACCCTGTCTCTACTAAAAATACAAAATTAACTGGGTGTGGTGGCACATGCCTGTAGTCCCAGCTACTCGGGAGAATGAGGCAGGAGAATCGCTTGAACCCAGGAAGCAGAGGTTGCAGTGACCCGAGATCGCACCATTGCACTCCAGCCTGGGCAACAGAGCAAAACTTCGTCTCAAAAAAAAAAAAAAAAAAAAAAAAAAAAAAAAAAAAAAAAAAAAAAAAAAAAAAAAAAAGACAATTACACAAATGAAACCAGGCAAGAGACTAAGGTAATTATTATTATTTAGAATTGACTTCTAGAACC